TACAGCTTCCTAAAAGCAGGACATCTGTGCAAAGGGAAACTGACGATCATAATGGAAGAGACCACCAGCTACATATACATACTACAGCACGGCACCTCGTGTGCTCTGGGGGATAGCAGCCACGCTGATAGGAGGCCTGCCGTGGCCAGCCAGCCCCCCTCCCCGCGAACAGTGCTGGAGTGATGCTCAGTGACGCGTCCTCCCTGGTAGCTGCCTCTTTACAGACTTCGTGCAGCCCCACCAACTGCAGTGACAAAACAATTGCTGTTGAAAAGTTAAAACACAAGAACAGGATCTTCCTTTTAAAAAAAGTATATTTTTATTTATTTCAGAGAGAGAGAGAGAGAGAGAGGAAGGGAGAGGGAGAGAGAGATAGAAACATCAGTGATGGGAGAGAATCATTGATTGGCTGCCTCCTGCATGCCTCCTACTGGGAATGGAATCTGCAGCCCAGGCATGTATCCTGATGGGAAATTGAACTGTGACTTCCTGGTTCATAGGTCGACGCTCAACCACTGAGCCACACCGGCAGGGCCAGGACCTTCCTTTGAGGGGTCTTCCCAGTCAACTTTCTTGAACGTCTGGCCTGACTTCCTAGATAGAGGTTTGGAGAACTTCATCACACTAGCGCTGAACTCATCTCTCAGTCCATAGCAGGCACCCACTAGATGCTTGTATAGTGGATGTATGAGCCAGCATCACACTAACAAATAATCTCTTAGGGTAGGTCACTGCACTTGATTAATCTTATCCATTTTTATACTGGTTCTCATTAGCTTCCATTTCATATGCTGATATTTCCTGGTTTATCTCCAAATTATTTTGTGTGGCGCCAGCATGGCCATGGGTGAACCTGAGGGTGGTGGGGGTGGTGGTGAAGGATTAGAAAAGATAGACAAGAAAATAAAGCTGGGGCTAGGTGGGACGCTGCCCTCTCTGATGGAGAGACAGCACCACGGCCTGCAAGCTGAGTCTTTATTTTATAGCCAGATTCCACGAGGCAAAGTAAGGGCATAGTCAAGATGTTTACAACGTTCTCATGTGTTTTGAATCTACTCAATTACATGCACCTGATCTCTATCAAGCCAACATAACTCAGCCTCCTGGGACCACAGATTCAGACTATAAGGTCAAGCTTACAACTATAGCCTTTGGCTATAATTGTGCTGGGAGGGCTTTGCCCTCCAAGCTGGGACCTGCACGTGGCTTTGCCGTGAGAGGACTGTGCCCTCTCATTAGTCCGAGGCTTGAACCTATCCAAACACTGTAGCCACTCTCCACAATTTTGGTGCCCATAGCCTCTGGTAAATGCACTGATTACATGTTTTCAAACATATATTTAAAATCAGAGATCTTTTGTTTTTAAAAATATCCATTTACACTTTTAAATTATGATTTGTTCAGATATTTCTATGGGCACAATTTCTAACCCTTTTAGAAAAGAAAAATCAGTCTTCAGAGTTGATTATCTGTGCAGGTGCCTCTACCCATCACAATATCTGTCCAGAATTATGAAAGTTTGGGGAAGTGGAAGGTTGAGGAAGCCATTGAGACTTGAGTGTGAGCTGCTGGGTTCGTTGTCTCAAGAAGTCGATGAATGAATTCATGAATAATTCATGGCGGGGGGGGGGTAAGCAAAGGGAAGTGAAGTTTATTACAGTGAAAGTAACAAAGTTCTTGACACACGAGACGGGTCCCCAAACCGGAAGCTCACTAGCCTAGTGGTTTATTTTTTTAATTTTTAAAATTTCTTTGATTACCGGAGAGCATTATGCTAAGTGAAATAAGCCAGCCAGCGATAGATAAATATCACATGGTCTCACTCATTTATGGAATATAATGAGCAACATGAACTGATGAACAAAAACAGATCCAGAGACAGAGAAGCATCGATCAGACCGTCAATCCTCAGAGAGAAGGCAGGGGAGGGTGGGGGTACGGGGGAGAGATCCACCAAAGCCTAGGGGTTTAAATGTCCCTGCTTTTGCCCTCTGTTGGCTCTCTCAAAGAAACACCAGGCATCTCCTTTAGCCCTCATCTCCCCACATTTAGTTACCGCTCTTGGGTTGAGGGGGAAGCGGGTACAGTCTGCCTATCTTGTTCACATCCTGGCCATCTGGTTTACTTCCTCCTTATCTACCATCTTCCCTACCCACGAGGCCCTTACCCTAAACTGCCCGATCCCCTCTAACTCCTCACCGTCAGTCCTGGAAAGAGAGTTTCTAATTGGAAAGTCTGAAATGTCAAAGGTGAACAGGCCCCAGCTGGCTCTGGTCCCTGGAACACTGCGTCCTGGCTGAAAGTGTAAGTGCTGACCTTTCCTCCAAAGAGGTGGCCCTGGTGACATGATGTCGTTGCTTCAACCTCTGCTTACAACCAGATTCACTTCAACAGGATTCCAGGTAATACATTGCACAACGTGACAGTCTCAGAAACGAAGGTCATGTGGACTCCCATCACTTGAGTTCAAATTCTCCCTGGGAGATCAAAGGACGGGGCCTGGGTCGGGGGGAGTCCTTGAACAGGCTCTCTGGCAGGAGACTGGCTTTGCTATGAAACCAGCTCAGGTCCGAGGGGCATGTGGGACCGGGGGTGCTAACTGGAGACCTGGGATTTACTGGGGTCACAGATATATTTCATTTGCGATGCATATAAATTAAAAAAAATTTGAGATTTCCCATTTTAAAAATTGGGAGATTCACATGTATACCCAGGTTTCTAGTTTCTGAATCATCAGAAGATTCCAGCAGTGCCTGGGCTGTGTTCCCACATGACAATACTCAGCCAAACGAAGCAGAGTAGTGGCTATCCTCAAGTCTGCCCCCCTCATGTGTGACCCGCTTCTCTCACCCACATTACCCATGTGAATCCTGAAGGTACTGGAGTTTGCAATCCTTGATGTGACTAAAAAATATCAACCTAACACCTTTTATGTGTCGAATACTGGTGCTGTTGCTTAGTCTTAAGGGCTATACAGGTGGCAGTTTCACCTTTTGGATAACGCTGTTTTAGACAGTGGCCAGGTGCTATTCAGTGGGGAGAGTTAGCCTTACACTGGAGCGGGGTTTCCATTGGGCTGTTCCTTGGTGATCCACAACCTCTCACCTCCCAACTCCTTGCCCTATATTACCTATTGCCATTATCATTATGAGTGAGGCACCTGTGAAAAGTTACCAATGGGACTATCAGGCTCAGGATAAAGGAAGGACAGTACCATTTCATATGCTGGCAGTCATCTATTTTATTACATATTAAAAAAAAAAACAACGAACACCTCCCTTCCCTCCCTCTAACAAGCTTAGTTTGCAAATACAAACAGTAGGGGCACACTGAAAAATAATTATCTCTAAGTCTTTTCACTTGCAAAAGTGTAGGTGTAATTTAGAAAAGTCTCCCTTTATTGGTATGCATGAAAAATGCACCCCACAATCTTCAATCAAATTAAAGTTGGATCCGTTCAGTTTCTATCTGGAAATATTCAGAGTTTCATAGTTTCAGCACGTATGGCATTGTAAATGTCCTCAGTCATAGGCACATACATTGCTGCTTTGTCATCCAAGAAATACAAGGCATCTTTGATGACTGCAGGGTTGAAGCCCTCCTCCACGAGGGTCACTTTGCGGTGTTTAAAAGTTCCAGTGATCTCAATGGTGTCCTGAAAAACATCAAACAACCCGCATTGTTGTGGTGTTTTGCAAACAGATCAGGTGCAGGTAAAGGAGTGGAGGTGAGGCTGGCACCTCTGGCTCCTTTGAGAGCTGTGAATGCATTTTGTATGATAAGGATACATCCTGTTTTCCAGAGCTCCACTAGGAGGCCCTTCGTGGAGGTAATTTTCATTCCCTTAAGCTCCCCTCCTCTACCCCTCATCCAAGGATATGTTTATTGATTTTAGAGAGAGAGGAAGAGAAGGAGGGAGGGAGGGAGAGAGAAAACATCGATGTGAGAGAGAAATATCAGTCGGTTGCCTCCTGCACTCGCCCTGACTGGAATCAAACTCGCAACATGGGGGTACGTGCCCTGACCGGGGATTGAACCCACCATCTTTTGGTGTACGGGACAATGCTCCAACCAACATAGGCACTGGCCAGGGCTCATTCCCTTAAAGCTTTAAGATCACCTGTGGGGAGTGAAAAACGGAGCACAGACTCTCTTGCTTGGTGAGCTTCAGGTATGACTGGAATATCCTGATTAAGGTGTGATCATCTACACAGACAACTCTATTCTTTCAGCCTGTTTGTCCGTTCGACCGAAGATCTGTTTTTTCTCCCATTAATAGGGGATGATCTGAGGATATTTCAATTTTTATGATCTCATTGTAAAGCAAATGCCAGTGCTTTATGAACGTCAATTGTGTAGCCACAGCAATGTCTGGCAATCTAACACTTCTCAACTCTTGAGAATCTAAGAGCTCAAAGTCCAAAAGTGAGGGTGTTAAACTAACCTAGGGGTTAATGTTTGAGAAAAAGAAAAAAATCCCTCTAGTGGTAAGAGCTAAACCTTTGGTAGTTCCAACTGGCTAATGATGCCCAGTTGAACTTCACACCATAGAAAGGTCTTAGGACATCAGTGAGTTTTTCCATTCTTCAAAACTGAAAACAAGCCGAAACCAGTTTGGCTCAGTGGATAGAGCGTCGGCCTGTGGACTGAAGGGTCCCAGGTTCGGTTCCGGTCAAGGGCATGTACCTCGGTTGCGGGCACATCCCCAGTGGGAGATGTGCAGGAGGCAGCTGATTGATGTTTCTCTCTCATCGATGTTTCCGACTCTCTCTCTCCCTTCCTCTCTGTAAAAATCAATAAAATATATTTAAAAAACAAACAAACAAACAAAAAAACTGGAAACAACAAATAGGAGGGTTGGAGCATTTCTGTTTTAAGTGTCTGTCACATATCCCCAAACACAGACTTTGAACGTTACTTGCTAATACTGTTGCTGAATGAACTGGCCTGGTCAATTTTAGGGAGGAAGGGATAAGGATTTGTGTTTCTGCTAGTTCTATTTTTATGATATTTCTGCTTCCTTGTTGAGCTTCCTGGAAAGGTTAGTGAAGATTTGGTCAATGTGGTCACCATGCTAGAAGGGGAGTTGTTGCCTAAGAGAGAGGGGTCTCCATGAGAGAGGAGAATTGAACTTGATAACAAGAGGTCTCACCTGTATCCTTAGAAACCGGGGCCTTGCATAACTAGGCAGGTAGTCGGCAACGTGCTTAAAGAGCTTCTTTCCATCAAATTCATGGCCTTCCTTCATCTTGATCGAGGCCATGCCAATTCGACCCTCGTGACCTGGAAATAGCACGAAAAAATATTACATGTGCTGTAGCTGTTTTATTTATAATGCTTTGCTGTTTCTAGAACAGTGGATGGAGGCAGCCTTATAGCATATGTTTCTTTTGGATAGTTGGAATTTTTATTTCAAATATAGGTCGAAGAGAATATAAAATGAAAATACTGCCACTACTACTAGCAGCTATACACTGATTGGATTTCTAATTATATGCCAGGTCCTATGGACCATCTCATTTAACCTGCCCAACAAACTTATGAAGAGGTTCAAAAGTTATCTCCATTTTACAGATGAAGAAACTGAGGCTTAAAGACTTTAAAAGACTTGCTCAAGTTCACACAGCAAATACTGAACGGGGGCAGTCTGACTCTAGATCCTGTGCTTGTCATCTTCACCCTTCTCAGCAGCCTACATGAAACACTTGAATAGGAAACAGGTCAAACTGGTGGCTAAAGGAACTTGTTTGTTTGTTTTTTTTACTCTAGTGAAAAGTCCTTGCTCCACACATGAATAACTGAGCTCAGGTTGTTCTTCAGACTGCAATGTCAGGTCTGCTGTGCTTCTAGGCACGAACACCACCTTTGAGACTTCCGTATTTAATCAGGCTTCCTAATAGCTTTGTCTTTCTGCACGTTAGAGAAGCGGTGGGAGAGCAGGTGAAGGCCAGGTGCAAGGGTGAGTGAACTGCTGGGTGCCCTCCCACTGCTGCCCGTTAGTCCCCAGAGGTTGAGCTCTCTACAGAGAAAATGGACCCTAACAGCTTTCTTCCCCGCAGGCAGGGCAGTGAGTGGAGAGGCATTTAGAACAATTTCTCTTGTTTTCTTGTGAGGACAGTGGTGATTAGGTACTAATCCATCGGCTACCTGATCCAGGAGACCCAGGGGGAGCCCAGGTCCATTTCCCTGAACTACTTAGCTGTAATCAGAGAGGAAGAGGGACCGCCCTGGTCACCTGGGTCCCAGCTTTCAAAATCTCTCCCATGGTGACTGCATGTTTACCTACAGCTCCAAAGGAGGCGGAAAACAAGAGGAAACATGGAAAGAAAGAAAACGCACCCTCGTTTTATCCGCCTCTCATCCGAGGGAGGCAGGGCATGGGATCTTCTTTCTCTAGGGGTCCCCACCTATCTCAGGAATCTCAAATGTCTCCAATATTCCTTTTAGAATTAAGACAGAAGCTGCTGCAACAGAAATCTTCAGCATCGACTGGCTCCCCGCTTCTTGCTCTGGCATTCATGGGGAGGGGGAGGGACCTGTTGGGTCTCAGGCCTCCACCCTGGCTCCTGCAGCTTGGTCTGGGCTAGTTCAGATCCAGGGGGAAGGCTCCAGTCTGCCGCAGTTCTGGCCAGGGCTTCTCTAGAACGGCTGTCCAATGTCGTAGCCACCGGTCACATGCGGCTATTACAATGAATTATAATTGAAATGGAAAATTCAGTTCCTCAGTTGCACCAGCCACATTTCAGTTGCTGGACAGTCACATGGAGGCTACTGGGCGCCACACTGGACAGTGCAGATATAGAACACTGTCGTCACTGCAGAACATCCTACTGATAATAACAGTTGTAGAGAGCAGTTGAACAGTACTGGTGTGACACCTAGAAAAACTTAACTCCCTGTTAAACCTAAACCTAGAAGTTCCCTCTTTGGACCTTCTGGTCCAAAACAGACCTGAGAAGTTCTCATGAGGATCCCAGAACCTGAAAGTTGGGAGAGACTCCTGAGTTCACCTCTCTGGTCGATAGAGTTCACCTCTAACTTTTCACTGCTGTCAGAATCCTCACAGGAGCCCAGGTGGGCATCCTGCCTCATTACACCCTCCAGCTGGTGGACAGTCCCCACCTCAGGAGACAGTCCTCTCTAGTGTTGGTTGCTCTGGTTAGAGGAGGGCTCTCAGGCTAACATCGGCTCCCTGGTCATTTCAGCCCGTTGTTTTCATTCTGCACATTGGAGCAGGATGAGCACACTGGCTCCTTGTTTTATCTGACTGTCTCTAATCATTTGAAAACCATTAGCTTCCTTTTCTTTGTTCTATATCAGTGGCTCCTACTGGTCATGACAGCCACTTGGGAATTTAAAGAAAAAAAGAAAAGGAAAGAAAACAAGAGAATTCTGATCCCAAACTCGAGGTTCTGATCCATGGGTTTTACAAGGTTTCCCAGATGATTCTGATTGGCGAGGTTTTGGAATCACCTGGTGTCAGCGCTTCTCGTGACTTTAGTGTATTTTCTCTAAATTGTGTAAAACATGTAACTCATCACTTTAACCATTTTAAAGTGTACAATTCAGGGCATTTAGGACATTCACAATGTTGTTCAGCTATCACCAGTATCTAGTTCTAGAACATTTTTATCACTCCAAAGTTAGACTTCAGTGTTTTTTTTTTTTGTTTTTGTTTGTTTAGACTGAAGAAAAAGGTAAATTTTATTTGGTCTGTTGGCTTCTACATTCACATCCACCAATAGATTGTTATTGATTAGATTATGAAAAGGCTGACTGAAGTATTGGGAGACTTCAGATAAACTTGCACCAGAAAGCAGCAAGCAACATACCTTTCTACTAAACTCCTACGGAAATATTTATAAAGATTTTAAAAAAATGTACGCATGTACAGATCAATTACTGAGCATCGAGAAACATGATATTCAAACATCACAAAATGGGAAATAGGTCTTGATTTCTGTCATTTGAGTCTGAATCAGGGCTCTCGCATTGTGTTCTGAAAGAAGTAACCACAAATAGCTCAGAAAGTGCCTAACGCCTTGCTCTGTGTTCCCGTTCTTGGTCCAGCGCCTTGCTTTTTAATTCTTCCTTACCCAATGACTTTATTAGCAATAGAAAAGACATTATTATTATCTTAGGAATTAAACTAAAAGCTGATTATCAGCTATATTTATCCCATAATCTAATTTTACCTGTTTCTTTGTATTTTTGCTTTTACAAACAGAATTTCACAACCAAACAGGTATCTTCAGGCTCCCTAATCTACAAGACTCATGTAAGAAAAATAATTGATGACATGCATAAAATCACAATCACAGAAACTGGACCATAGTTAAACTAATTAAGAGAAATCATGTTCATTTATAAGTGATTATATAAGGGAAGAGGAAATATGCATCAAGTAATAAAAAACATTAAATCTTTATATAAACAAACGAGATAAATCCCAGGTCCTTAAACAGTCTGTTTAAAAAGCAGGTCAAGGTGAAGAAGTGAATTCATACTTTTAACTTCCACTGTGCTCACTTGGGTCCTTTCGCCTTGGCCTGGGTTTCCTTTGGGGCCTTTCCATTCCGACATTGAGTAAATCTGGCTACTGTAGAAACACCATCCACAAACTTGGTTTTGAAAAGGACGTTTGCATTGTTGAACACACCTTCCTTTAGGGACACCACAATGAACTGAGAACGTGTGAAACGAGTACGCAGCATCTGCCCAATGTTCTGGGTGTGAGAAAGATCCAAGGCTGCATCGACTTCATCCAGGATGTAAATTGGAGCAGGTTTGAAGAGGAGCATGGACAATATTAATGACAAAGCCACCAAAGACCTCTGACCACCGCTAAGTTCAGTTAGGTTTTCTTTCCAAGTATTTCCTAAGGCAACCTTGAACTCAAGACCATCCAACATGGTTTGCCCCTCTGGTGGTGCAAGCATAGCATTAGCACCAGGCAAAAGGGTAGAAAAAATAGACCAAAGTCCTTGTTCACCTCTCGCCAAGCAATGTTCAGGGCTTGGTTTTTCTTCTGGTCAAGGTCTTCTATAGTTGCAAGTATTTTGGATTTGTCATTTTCTACAATTCTCTTCTAGACTTCAGTGTTTTTAAGAATCACTTAGCCCTGGCTGGTGTGGCTCAGTTGGTTGAGCATTGTCCCATGCACCTAAAGGTTGCCGGTTTGATTACTGGTCAGGAGACAATCGATCAATGCTTCTTTCTCACATTGATGTTTCTCTCTCTCTCTCCCCCTCTCCTTTCCTCTCTCTAAAATCAATAAAAACAGTTTTTAAAATAAAAGAATCACTTAAAGGGCTTGTTAAAATACAGCTCCCTGGGCCCCACCCCAGAAAGTCAGATTCGGTGGGTCAGAGGTGGGTCCAAGAGACGGCATTTCTAACAAGCTCCCGGGTGAGGAGGATGGTGCTGCTGGCTCAGGGGTCCCACTGGTTCTCCCATTCCACTTCCTAGTTTCTCCCACCTTCTACACATTCTTTTGCGTTGTTACCGTTTTAAAATTCAGCATATAAAAGTATGTGCAAGATTCCAGGTGGGGTCTGTGAGAGCCCCAGTGTGGTGTGATGGCTGACAACCACGCTTGTGCTAATTCAGCCTGAGGTCCAACATGAGAAGAATTCTACAACTCACACTTTATGACCCCGGTGTGGCTACACTTCCCATTGTATTGCTGCCACAGGATTGGAAAGGAACAGGTAAGAGAAAGCCCTGAATATTCTTTAAGAAATAAAAGGGCAGTACAAGGTCACGCGCAACCGCCACAGCTCAGGGAAATGGGACTTTAGGATTTCCATTTTGAATATAGGTGGAATTCCAAATCCTGAGTTCTGGGGGAGTACTAACACCCATAGCATCTCATGTTTGGACAATGATTTGGAGATGTCCTCCTTGACATCTATATATATAAAAGCCTAAGTGACTGTTACAACGGGTTGACTGGCCAGTAGCTATGATGCGTACTTACCACCAGGGGACAGATGCTCAATGCAGGAGCTGCCCCCTGTTGGTCAGTGTGCTCCCACAGCCAACTTCCCATGGCTGGCCAACCTCCCGTGGTCACTCCCCGCCTGGCTGGCCCCTATCGCCGGCCAGGCCGAGGGACCCCACCCGTGCACAATTTCATGCACTGGGCCCCTAGTCTATAACAAAAATGATTTCTCCTCATGACAACCCTCATGTACATATCTGACAAATTTATTTTTCCTATTTATGTCATTGAAATGAATTAGTCCTCTGGACAATCTTCATGACAAGGACCGGTGTGATCCCTAATTTTAGTGATATGCCTGAAGCCAAACAGCCAGCAGGTATTGGAGCCAGGATCCCAAATCAGACCTGGGCACTCCCCACATGCTGGGAGAAGCAGGTCTATGGAAGAAGGCTTGATGTCATGATTCTGAAACTCAGTCAGGTGGGCTGGGTCAGGGACCTGCTTTAGAAGTGTGTGCGAGATTCCAGGTGGGGTCTGTGAGAGCCCAGTGTGGTGTGAGGGCTGACAATGTCGTCTCTTAGCAACTGTACTTGCTCTTACTTGTGTCTCACATCCCATCTCTCAGCTCTCCAGCGTGCTGCATCTTTTCTTGAGGAGTGCCAGATGCAGCATGGAACCTGGAGTCCTGGAGAGATGTGGCTTACCGGGGAGCCCAGCTGGGGAGCTGAGCCACAGAGGAAGGCCAGGTTCAGGTGTACTGACCGGGCTGATTTATAAAGGAACATAAACCACACATAAACCCGTTACTCAAGTGGCTGACGGAGTCGTTTGGTTCTCCAGCCTACAGAAGAAGGCAATGGCGTACTTTGCCCTGGGGTTAAAATGATAGGGATTTAGGCACAGATTTATAATATCTCATGCATACCTGGCACAGGCACTCCATAAACATTTGCTTCTTGGACAAAATCAACCAGTCCCAGTGTGTCAGCAACTTCAGTGGTGGCCACATTTTCTCCTTTCCACCTGGAAGAAAAGGTGAGGTTAGCAGAGGTCACAGGTGGTCTCTGGCTCAGGATGTGATGACAGGAAGTAGCTGGTTCCCTCCAGACCTCTGTGGGGTGGCTGCACTCTATACCTCACCTTGGTCCCCAAATTCCCCAACTTCATCATGGGAGAAGCACCATGCTTGAGGAACAAAAGACAAAGGCATACTCCTAAATAATAAAATGCAGAATTCCAATCTAGCCACCTGGAACATGACTTACAGAATGATGCTGTTCTAATATCAAAACACAGACTTGGCCCGAGAAAGGCACTGGAAATAAAAAATAAACCACCAATGGCCCTAGTTGGTTTGCTCAGCGCCAGCCCTCAGACTGAAGGGTGGCGGGTTTGATTCCAGTCAAGGGCATGTGCCTCGGTTGCAGGCTCAATTCCCAGCTCCGGTTGGGCTATGTGCGGGAGGCAACCAATCCATCTGTCTCTCACATTGATGTTTCTCTTTGTCTCTCCCCTTCCCTTCTACTTTCTAAAAATTAATGGGAAAAAACTATTCTCAGGTGAGGATTAACAAAAAACTAAACAAAACAAAAACCCATCAGTGACTTTTTGCTGTATGTAAGTCTCTCCCTTTCCTCATTCTCTAACTTTGGTTGCTATTTCATTCAATTAATGAACTTGTGTTTAATAAAATTTCGTATTTGTATTTCAGGGTCTCAGGGCAATGAGAAAGCTTTTAATAAGATAAAATATCATACTTTATTTGCAAGGAGACTATCATGTTAGTGCCAACCAAGTGCTATTTTTCACTTCATAAAGTTATTTTTTTTACATTAAAAAATTTAAAAAAATATCTCATAGAAGTCGATTTTCTCCTGACCGGGAATCTTTTCAGTGACATGAAGGTGGCATAAAATAATGACAGGGATCCTGAGTTAGGGAATATTTCAGATGGAAGGAACACTGAGGATCATCGAGACCCTCACTTCATGGATGAAGAAACTGGGTCGAGAAAGCTCACCTGCCTTGCTAACACAGATGTTCAGGGGCAGAGGTGAGCCTGGGAACTCTGCTCTCCTCACTCAGATCCACACTATTGCAAAAGAACAAATAACTAAAAACAACCCACACAAGGAAAAAGAAAACTTCCTCATTAACTCATACAAAAGGTAATTATGTGTGTCAGGCACTGTGCTGGGAGCTGGGGCCTGGCCTCAGGGAGTCCACGAAGGAAGGAAGATGATTAAGCAAAAGTGTTGTGAGGCTGGAGGACCGTGCTGTTGTTGGGAATTCATTTCATGATCTATTATCATGACTTGCAAACTGGTGCACTGACTTGGGGGCTCTGGGGGAGGCTACCTGGCTGGGGATGGAGAGTAAGAGGGAGGGGAGCAGGTGGGACTCCGAATCCCTCCTCTTCAACTAAATCAGCTCCACCTTAATTTGCATTAGATTTTAGCTGAAGAAAATGCCCATAATTGAAAACTGGAAATCCCTGGCTATCCTCTGCGTGACCAGTAATAATGGAGGAACTGGATGGACTAAGCTATTGAGACCCATGTATACACTAAGGCAGTGGTTTTCAACCTTCCTAATGCTGCGACCCTTTAATACAGTTCTTCATGCATGGTGACCCCCAACCATAAAATTATTTTCGTTGCTACTTCACAATTACAATTTTGCTACTGTTATGAATTGTAATGTAAATATCTGATATGCAGGATATATTTTCATTGTTACAAATTGAACATAATGAAAGCATAGTGATTAATCACAAAAACAATATGTAATTATTTATGTGTTTTCCGATGGTCTTAGGTGACCCCTGTGAAAGGGTCATTCAACCCCAAGGGGGTTGCGACCCACAGGTTGAGAACCACTGCGCTAAGGTTTCCCGCCTTACTTTCATTTGGTGTTGCTCAACCAAGTTAACTGTGCATTGAAGAGTGACCCCTTATATATTTTGCTCCTTTTTTTTTTTCTAGGAATACAGGAGGTTGAATTGACATGGTAAAGAGATAGAAGAAAATGGGGTCCCATAACCAAAATGGAATGGGATTTCAATTTAGAGTACGCCAAATTGTGCATGTTTCTCCATAATTCAGAGAAACCCACCGGA